CACCCCAGGGTGCAAACCAAGACAGGGCAGCCAGCTCAGAGGATCTGGCAGGGGTGGAATTTCACCCCCTCAGTGCTCCAATTCCGATCCTGTTCTTACCTCATCCCTCCTGCAACCCACAGTCCACGAAAGCCCTGCCAGACTAAGGGGCGCTGTGGGTTGTCGATGCGAATCTGAGCTGCAGCTCCCACCGGGCACAGTAACTTGTTGCATGGACCTGGGTGGAAGTTCGGACTAACGCCAGCGGGATGGACTGTCCCACGGAGGGAGGCAGAATTGAAACCAGGGAAACAGGCCATAAGGCTGGCAGGCCCCACCCCCACAGAACTCAAACTGAAGCCCTCACTAGAGAGCTTGGTAGCAAATACACCAGTTTGACCCCAACTAAGCAGATCAAGCTTGGGGAAGGAGAGACACTATTGGGAAGGTGGGGCCAATCTCACCTGCAAACAAACTCCAGGGAAGGACCACCCACCCTGACAGAATCTGAGAAAGCCCAGCAATGCCTCTACAGGCCCAAAAAGATATAGCTCCAACGTCAACAGAAAGGACATCCACTCAGAGACTCCTCCTGAAATCACCAACTTCCAAGATCAAAGAGAGATAAATCCATGAAGATGGGGGGAAAAAACAGTGCAAAAAGGATGAAACCATCAAAGACTGGAACACCTCTTCTCCTCTAAGGGATCACAACTCCTCACTATCAAGGGAACAAAAAAAGAATGACGAATTGACAGAAGCAGGCTTCAGAAGGTGGGTAATAACAAACTTCTCTGAGCTAAAAGACCATGTTCTAACCCAATGCAAAGAAACTAAGAACCTTGAAAAAAGGTTAGAAGAAATGCTAACTAGAATAACCAGCTTAAAGAAGAACATAAATGACTTGATGGAGCTGAAAAACACAGCGCCAGAACTTTGAGAGGCATACACAAGTTTCAACAGCTGAATCGATCAGGCAGAAGAAAGGATATCGGAGATAGAAGATCAGATCAATGAAGTAAAATGAGAAGGCAAGATTAGAGAAAAAAATGAACAAAAAGCCTCCAGGAACTATAAGATTGTCTGAAAAGACCTAATCTATACTTGATTGGCATACTTGAATGTGACAGGGAGAATGAATCCAAGCTGGAAAACACTTCAAGGTATTATCCAAGAGAACTTCACTGAACTAACAAAGCAGGCCAACATTCAAATCCAGGAACTACAGAGAACACCACAAAGGTATTCCTCAAGAAGAGCAACCGCAAGGCACATAGTTGTCAGATTCAACAGGAATCAAATGAAGGGAAAAATGATAAGCGTAGCCATAGAGAAAGGCCAAGTAACCCACAAAGGAAAGCCCATCAGACTCACAGCAGATCTCCTGGCAGAAACCCTACAAACTAGAAGGGAGTGGGGACCAATATTCAACATCCTTAAAGAAAAGAACTTTCAACCCAGAATTTCGTATCAGGCTAAACTAAGCTTCATAAGGGAAGAAGAAATAAAATTCTTTACAGAAAAGCAATTGCTGAGAGAGTTTGTTGCTACAAGACCTGCCTTACAAGAGCTACTGAAGAAAGTATGAAACAGGGAAAGGAACAACCAGTACCAGCCACTGTAAAAAGGTACCAAATGGTAAACAATGACACATGAAGAAACTGCATCATCTAATGGGCAAAACAACCAGCCAGTAACAAAATGAAAGGACCAAATTCAAACATAACAATACTAACATTGAATGTAAATGGCCTAAATGCCCCAATCAAAAGACACAGACTGGCAAACTGGATAAAAAGGCAAGACCAATCAGTGTGCTGTATTCAGGAGACCGATCTCATATGCAAAAACACATATAGACTCAAAATAAAGGGATGGAAGAAGATTTATCAAGCAAATGGAGAGAAAAAAAAAAAAAGCAGAGGTAGCAATCCTAGTATCTGATAAAACGGACTTTAAACCAACAAAGATAAAAAGAGACAAAGAAGGGTATTACATAATGGTAAAAGGATCAATGCAACAAGAAGAGCTAACGATCCTAAATATATATGCACCCAATGCAGGAGCACCCAGATACATAAGGAAAGTTCTTAATGACCTATAAAGAGACTTAGACTCCTGCACAATAATAGCGGGATACTTTAACATTCCACTGAGAATACTGGACAGATCAGTAAGACAGAAAGTCAACAAGGATATCCAGGACTTGAACTCAGATCTGGTCAAAGCAGACCTAATAATAAATGGTGTTGGGAAAACTGGCTAGCCATATGCAGAAAGCAGAAACTGGATCCCTTCCTTACACCTTATACAAAAATTAACTCCAGATGGATTAAAGATGTAAACATAAGAACTAACACCATAAAAACCCTAGAAGGAAACCGAGGCCACACCATTCAGGACATAGGCATAGGCAAGGACTTCATGACTAAAACACCAAAAGCAATGGCAACAAAAGCCAAAGTAGACAAATAGGATCTAATTAAACTTAAGAGCTTCTACGCAGCAAAAGAGACAATCATTAGAGTAAACCGGCAACCAATAGAATGGGAAAAAAAATTTGCAATCTACCCATCTGACAAAGAGCTAATATCCAGAATCTACAGAGAACTAAAAGCAGATTTACAAGAAAAACAAACCCATTCAAAAGTGGTTGAAGGATATAAACAGATACTTTTCAAAAGAAGACAAATATGTGGCCAAGAAACATGAAAAAATGTTCATCATCATTGGTCATTAGAAAAATACAAATCAAAATCACATTGAGATACCATCTCATGCCAGTTAGAATGGCGATCATTAAAAAATCAGGAGACAACATGCTGGAGAGGATGTGGAGAAATAGGAACACTTTTACACTGTTGGTGGGAATGTAAATTAGTTCAACCATTGTGGAAGACAGTGTGGGGATTCCTCAAGGACCTAGATATAGAAACACCATTTGACCCAGCAATCCCATTACTGGGTATATATCCAAAGGATTATAAATCATTCTGTTAAAAAGACACATGCACACATATGTTCACTGTGGTGCTGTTTATGATAGCAAAGGCATGGAACCAACCCAAATGCCCATCAATGATAGACTGAACAAAAAAAATGTGGCATATATACACCATGGAATACTGTGCAGCCATAAAAAATGACAAATTTGTGTCCTTTGTAGAGACATGGATGAATCTAGAAACCATCATTCTCAGCAAATTGACAAAACAACAGAAAACCAAACACCGCATGTTTTCACTCATAGGCAGGTGATGAACAATGAGAACACTTGGGCAGAGAGAAGGGAACAACATCCACAGGGCTAGATGTGGGGTGAGGGAGAGGGGAAGGGAGGAACAGCACATGGGGGAGGGGAGGCTGGGGAGGGATAACACTGGGAGAAATGCCTGATGTAGGCAACAGGGGAGTGGGAGATGGGAGACAGCAAATCACCATGGCATGTATGTACCTATGCAACAGCCCTGCAGGATACAGGATGTGCACATGTACCCCAGAGCCCAAATACAATACAATAAAATACGAAAAAAATATAAATGTAAAAAAAAAAAATAGAATCACTGTTCCAGAAGAAAGAATTTCTACAATTCAATGAGAAAAAACATAGATGTCAGTAGTGAGGGGGGAAAGGGCAAAGGTTTAAATAAGTAGTTTGCATAACAGGAAATCCACATGTCCCAAAACATTTAGGTTACTGTTCATTAACTTTATTAATCAAGGAACTTTAATTTAAAATGACAGGATAACTTTCCATACCCAAAAGGCTAACCAAAAAAAATTTAAATCCGGCAATTAAAAATTTTCATGAGTGTTTAAAGGAATGGCAGTCTTTATGCACTGATGATGGATTTGTAAATTGTCACCTTTTGCAGGAAGAAAATGAGTAATATTTAATAAAGTTTTAGCTATCCATACAGTGATACCCAGAAATTTCCCTTCTAGATATATAACTTGAAGAAGCGCCAGGACACTTGCACAAGGTTTACCTTCAAGGCATTGTTCGAATAACAAAATTAAAAATAACCTAATAGAAGAAATAGCTAAATAAACTGTTATGTATTAACAATGAAATTCTATGTGGCAGTTAAAATAAACTGTCTGTACTACATTTTAAAAAATCACTTAGAAATATTTCACCTGTAACGTTGACTAAGTTTCAGAATGCTACATAGGACACATTTTAAAATTTATGACTGTCAAAAAATATCATATATCATTTCTGTAGATAGTAATTATGTGTGTGTGCATACAGTGAAATAACTAAAAGCATAACAAAGTCATACATCTACTTCAGAATAGTAGGTACTGCTGGACGGACAGGGAGGGTGTTCAGAGCAAGAAAGAATACAATTCTACCTCATGTTTTATTCATCAACAAGCTAATGAAAACTGAAGTAAATATGGATAAATAATATTTGTTAAAATTGTATGATATATAGAGTTATCCTCTATATAGAGAGAGAGAATACAGGGAATCGATATATATAGAGAGATCTATAGAGAAGGAGAGCTGTCTATATATATCTATAGAGAGAGAGAATATATTTTTCTATATATATATTTATAAATAGAATATATATATATTTTTCTATATATATAGTTATTTACATATATATACATTCTCTCTCCCTCTATATATATTCTCCAGGTATATTCTCTCTCTCTCTCTCTATACACACACACATACACACACACACACACACACACGTGTGTATATATAGTTATTCTCCATGTCTGACTGTATATTTATTGCATAACACTCTTTAAAAATTAAATTAAAAACCTAGGTTCCCACCAGGTAATGTGACAGCAGACATGGAAAATTAGTTGGGATAGCTGCAATTTTAAAACATATGCTTGGCAACTTCAGGTTTGACAATAAACTGACATTTGAATCATCAGAGATGGGCTTCTTACCACTTTTCAGTTGTTCATAAATATGTTACTAATACTCTATCCCCAGGATTGTTGTTCTGTGTAACAGAATGCTTTTGCTCATGTTTACTGTTTCCCTGCAGATGGACAGTGTTATGAATATAAATGGATGGCCAGTGCTTGGAAGGGCTCTTCCCGAACAGTGTGGTGTCAAAGGTCAGATGGTATAAATGTCACAGGTAAACCTCCAGTTTCTCTTTGAAAATCTTCCCGTAACACACATGTGATTGGCTGAAGAAAGTAATTAAGGAAACGAAGTTACTCTTTCAGTATTCAAAGCCTGTTAGGGATTCAGGTTGCCTAAGCTGGCTACACCCATCTGGTGACCAGTAACAAATTATTTTATTTTATAATGGTTCAAATTATCTCTCAACTAGCCCTCTTAGGTACCGCTGCTGAAACATTTAATACTATCTAATCCTTATAATTATTATAAACAAACACTTTTCAAATTATCTTTTCTAGAAATTTTATATATGAGTAACTTCCTACATGTTTAAAAATAATCAACTTTTTGGACTTTCTGCTTCTGTGTCTTGAAGGCAACATAAATGCAGACCAAAAATACCACCAAGGGAGTATGATTATACAAATCCAAGTATCTTGCTTGAATTCAGAAATCTATGATTCAGACATTTTTTAAATTAATTAATTGGAAAGACCTATTGGTAAATTTCAAACCCAGACCATCTGAGCAGCTCACCTACTGCGCCCACATCCCCAAATTACTATATATCCAAAGAAGAAATCCAAAGGAGTAACTTTTTTCAATTGTACTTCAACCAACATATACCTTCAAAGAACTACTCTAGTGTGCAATTCCTAAATGCCTATCTGAAGCCTGTAAACAGGAGGGATCCCAAGGATCCCTTGAAGGAGGAAGAGATTTTGGCTCAAGATACGTAGTGAACCACCAAGCACATTTCCTAAAAATACACTGAAAGTCAGAACCTGAAATTAAGGTGAACCTTAATTTCAGGCACATGGACCCAGAAATCTAATGCCTTTCCATAAACAATTTCTTTTGATAAATCTAACAACTTATGGGAATTGCCATAGCACAGCAACAGCAGGAGTCTTGACAGTTAACTGCTCAGGCAGACCTGCTCACTTGCTGCCGTGTTTTAACCCTGCTGTGGGGAGAAATAAGGAGTGTGCATTTGGATGCATGCCTCTGAGTAATGTCCATCTATAAATTTAACTTTAATATATACAGTATAAGAAAAAGGAGCAAGGATCAATATGCTTTTTGAAAACGATCCATTTTTATATTGAATTTTAAATTACATGGATTCATTGAAACCCAATGACTAATTTCCTCCCTTATGGGATCTAGATCAGGATAGCAATTTTTTTTCTTGTGAAGATAAGATTTTATACATAAGAAAGCTCTCTCAAGAAACACTTAATAACAACTCCCTGTGGTCACATACATAACAAAAAAAAGACATCTAACAGAAACTCTTTGTTGTCTCACTGTATTATTTTTTGGGAGAAAAATCTCCTTCAATGCCCTCACTCCAAAAAGTATGGAGTAAAAAGAGCCCTGGACAGGGACAGATGGGCTTTCTGAATGAGGAGGTGTTACAGAAGTTATCCATTCAGCTCACAGATTGGCAATAAATGTATCCATTCATTTTTAAACTATTCAAAGAAAATTTAAGCCACTTCTCTAAATGATCCTTTAAATTTGCCATTTTTTTTCCAATAATGGATGCAAATAACATTTGCCTGACTTTTCTTCTACATATCAAAAACTTGTTCTACTGCATTTGGGGCTCTTCCCCCAATGCAAAGGTAAGTCAAACTTTAAAAGACTTACCCGTAAAATCTTATTTTTAATTCAGCAAAATGTCCAATGGACTATTTCTAATGCTATTCAGTACCAAAAAGCCAATGTGTAAATCATCTGTAATAAACTCTATATGCATTCTTCTTTCATCTTTTAGGAGAGATGACATTCTTTAGGACGAATAGGCAAGCATGTAAAGTATATTACCTATCTTGATCAATTGCTTTAATTTATAAATTGTCCTTTTAAGGAACTCAAAATATTGCTTTCCTTTTGTGTATATATTTGTTTAATAATAATAACTTCAATATGGCCAATTAACTGCAATTGCCTTGTGATGACTAACTGCTTTTCTGTAACAATTTTTCTGTATTTTGAGATTGTAATATTGAGAGAAACACAGAGAATTAGCAATAGGCACATGTGATTACATTCCTGAGGATCATCAGTTCTGTCAATAAAGAAAAAAATTTGCTTTGCTAAAATTCTGTTAGACTGAACAAGTATAGTTTGAGTATGTGAGTTCCTTTCATATCACCAATGTTTTCTATGACTTCTATTTCCATCTTAAAACCTCACTTGAAACAACTTAAGGACAGTTGGTACTATACTGGAAAATAAACAAGAGAGAGATAAACAGCTGTAATATCGAGTTAAAACTATAGTTCAAAACAAATGATTCAGTAGATACATTTGTTTTCTCTCTATATCCAGAAACACCCTGAATTAGCAGAAATTGTAATGTTTATCAAAAAGAAAAATGCATTATTTTAAAAAAATTATTTAACATAAAGAGCTAAAGAGTTATTTCAAAGGACGTGAAAACTATTGTTCTGAATCTCCAAGAAAGAATTTTAACCTTAGAAAAAAATTAAATCAGCTTTTTAATTGCTGGATTTGGCTTCAGGCGCTCCTGACAGAAGAAGGCTGTGTGCAATTAGTATTTTCAAAATAGCAGCCCTAGAATCATTCTTTCAACAAATGCTTGTTGAATCTCAGCAGGCACTGTGCTACCTCCCCTGGGGAAGAAGGTCCTGGAGTCACTACAGATGCTCAAGGTTAACCAAATATTTCACAGTCGACCGCTGACAGAAAAATTCCTGGGATTCCCAAAGTAGTTCAAGATTCAAAGACAAGTTACTAACAACAGTGTATTTTCATCATAGCAAGATATATTATTTGTCAAAACATGATTTTCTGTTCTACAGGGGGTTGCTTGGTGATGAGCCAGCCTGATGCCGACAGGTCTTGTAACCCACCGTGTAGCCAACCCCACTCATACTGTAGCGAGGTATGTGTAAATTCTTCAGGGCAGACAACCCAGCTCCATCATTTGTCACCCCACTGTCTCTTGCAGTTTATCTTCCTCCAAAGAAAGCATGTCCTGAGGCATAAAAATCCCATTTTAGACACCTCCTTTTATTATCAATCTAAAAAGTCCTGAATTCACTTGCTTTTACCTTGAGAATACATTTATATGTCATACCGAAAGTGTATTTCTATGTAGCTAAAAATACTACAGGAATTACGTATAGTAATTCCCCCTCAAAAAATCCTTGTTTAAAGCTTTCTCTTCAAGTCAGGTCTATTAGACTTTCAAAGATTCCTTGCGTGGCTAGTATAAATCTGCTTGTTCTCCTGCAGACAAAAACATGCCATTGTGAAGAAGGGTACACTGAAGTCATGTCTTCTAACAGCACCCTTGAGCAATGCACACTTATCCCCGTGGTGGTAATACCCACCATGGAGGACAAAAGAGGAGATGTGAAAACCAGTCGGGCTGTCCATCCAACCCAACCCTCCAGTAACCCAGCAGGACGGGGAAGGACCTGGTTTCTACAGCCATTTGGGCCAGGTGAACTGACTAGACTAGTGTTGAAGTTGAAACCTTGAGTTATGCATTTAGGCAATGCCAAAGGATTAAAAGAGTGAGCAAGCATTGTTATATGAGTTATTGATTATTTTATCTACATGTCTTTATTCTGTTAGTGCCATCTATTCCCAAATGTTTACTATCATTATGGAAAATAACTTATGTTTGAAGTTCAAAGCAATGAAATTACTTTCTTCTGAGAAAATTTAAGTATCAATATGATTCAATTCAATTCCGGTCCAAAAATTACAAGTGTAATTTCAAATCGAACAAAGATGAGAATATGGATTTTAAAAAATGTGTTGTCATTCAGAACTAGGATAAAGGAGACTATAAAGACATTCCAGAATTTGTAATTTGATTATAACATGAGTTATGCAGTTCTGTGCCAGGGAACACTTGGTAGCTAGACCGGTTTGGATTAGCCCTACAAGGCAGCATACTCAAATACTGAGAATCTGTACTAGTGCCAGATACACAGGGGCAATAATGGAGCCTTCCCTTCTGGATGGGATGTTCCCAATTTTTTTTTTTCACATTAAACAGATAGCTCTTAATGTATCTAGTAATAAACACAAAGCCAATACGGGAAACCACTTGAAAACCTCATGAAATGCTATTCTCTGCTCTGCACACTTTCTCTCCTCTGTTGGATTTAATCATATGCTCATCCCTAGAGCTAACCTGGTGCTTGAAAATGTGCTACATGGGTTATAAAACAGCTCATATCATGCCACTTTTTCTCACTCCCTGGAAGAACTCCTAGTCCATGGGGCAAAGGAACTCTCTAGGCAGAACCAGGCATAGTCTACTTAAAAATGCCATTAGAAGCATGAGAAAAGACGGAAGGAATCTGCACAGCTAGCACGTCTCCACTGCTAATGCATTAAGTCTGAACACTTTCCCTTCCTGGAGAATAAATATTAAATTTTTAGGATATTTTAAATGTTTGGGTGATTTGCTTTTAATCACATTATTCCTGCTTTAATTGGCTTTTTAGCTGAAAGTACAATCTATTTTGCAAAGCTGACTTGTCTGTGTAAGCATGGGAAGCTCTTCCCTCAGTGTTAAAGACAACGGACTAGCAGATAACCAGTGGCAATTTTGATCTTTACTAACAAATGAAGCAGACCTCCTCACATCAAAATCAGTCCTTTTGAAAAAAAAAAAAATTATTCTCATTATTTTTTATATATAGTTTCCCCAAAGTGAAAATCATAATATATTTAAGAGGTGCATGTTCTGAAAACTTAGATATTCTTTTATTTTTAAAAAACCCAAAAAACATTTGTTGAAGAAACTCAAAGTGTAGAGAAGCTCAATCATGGAACAGCTCTTTTGATTCTAAACTCAGCTCAAATAAAAAAAAATCTTTAGGATTAGAAAGAAAAGATATTTAGAATATTAATTTAGTTTGTTTCCAGCAAATGAACCTCTCACTTGATCTAGCTCCAGGCAAAAATATTCCACAGTACCAATTTGCATTTGATGCCTTTCAAATATTGAATAAACCAGAGTTTACATGAGGTCAATTTTGCCTAATCTATAATTTTGACACTAAGATCAAATATTTAATTGCAACAGAAAATATATGTTGATGTGAGGATAAAATTAAATTAGCCATGTCATAAATAACATCTTTTGTTTGAAGTTTATTCAGAGCATAAAACTGAGGAGTTCAAAGAAAATGAGGGCAGAAACCCAAATCACAAAAGTTCCTGTTACGTCTTATTCCGTATAATAGAAAAGAAAAAAAAATGATTTATAGATCCTTTTAGCTGTTAACCAAACTAGTTGCTTTGTAAATGACATTGTCAAGCCAATTTTAAAACACACTGTCAGTGCAGATTAGATAAAAGATTATTAATTCCATAAGATGTTAAATATATTCACTTTCATTTTACCTGGAATGAAAATGATGAAGCTTTTGTCTGAATACCTAGCTGCATTAACTTGAGGTTGCAGAGCTTTCTAAAAATGGCGTTTTCCATCTTTTCTTATGATTGCAATTCTCAAAATAGATTGAAAATCAGAAGAAAATGTTTATACAGCATTACGCATGTATTGAGTTTGAAGTAAAACTGAGATGAAAGGCAGCTGAAGTTTAGACAAAGAAACTTGAAATCTGAAGTCAAACATTATTTATAACTTTTCAGTTTTCTTTGATAACTTATCTTTAATGAAGCAGTATCTAACTCCTAACAGCAGCTTTGCATTAATCATTAACTGTGTTGAAGCAATAACTCTCTTGAGTTTTGAAAGAAATTGGTCATAGATGATTGATCACTGTTCATAGTTAAAGACTGCCTCATGTATACCAGACTAATGTAAATTAATAACTAATATCATTCTTCTTAGATGGGAAACTAAAGACCTGGGTTTACGGTGTAGCAGCTGGGGCATTTGTGTTGCTCCTCTTTATTGTCTCCATGATTTATCTAGCTTGGTGAGTGTTTAAATATTTAAAAATCCAAAGAGATACATAACATCTCTATTTCAGAGAAAACACTTTCAGTTAATCATAACACAGAAACAGCAAACTAATTTCTCAAATAAGTACTCTGCATTTATCTAGTGTTCACATGATTTCCAAATAAACGTGGTTTTAGTCTTAGATGAGCTAAACGCTACCAAATCTGAACTATTTCATATCTAAAGACGAGCAAGAACTGGCTGCAGGTCATCTTCTCAAGTATCTTCTCTTGCATACTTTTAAGAGAAATGCATTGTACTGGTTATGGTGAACTGTTGATTTTTATATTGAATTACTAATGGAGAAAGATATTATAGTAATACCTAATCATATTCAATTATCTTTTAAAACATGTATTATTTATAAATTATGTATTATTTAAAAAGGTTTCTTGCCAAGGGAAAATGACTAGACTATGATATTATTTCTGTTGTTAATACTAAAATAATTCCACTTGGATAATTTATCTTTTGTAGGATAGTTAAACACTTGAAGTTTACTTAAGAATTTATTCAGAGCATAAAACTGAAATTCAGGGAGATCAGAAAATCAAATTCTAAGGTGGACTTTAGGCAGTGTAGCCGATGAGGCAATTTCAGTTTATCAATTTATTTTTATGTTTTTTCACTGGAAGCAGTCAAATGTACAATTAGAGACTGATTTTCTTTCTCCCAATTTTAATTAATTGTTTTGCAGCAAAAAGCCAAAGAAACCCCAACGACGGCAAAACAACCGACTGAAACCTTTAACCTTAGCCTATGATGGAGATGCTGACATGTAACATATAACTTCTCCTGGCAACAACCAGTTTCGGCTCTCTGACTTCATAGCAGATGTCCTGAGGCCACAACACACGTATCCAAACTGTCTGGATTAAAATACATTTTAACTTTTAAAAAGGGCGTCATAAAGGCAAGAGTGAAAATCATACTGCCACTGGAGATATTCAAGACAGTACCACTTACATACTACGTCAACCGTGAGAATTACAGGAGATTTAGTTGAATACCTGCTGCATTCTGAAAGTTTTATGTCATCTTTTCTGAAGTCTACCAACCGAAAAACCACCTTCATCTCTAAAAAATAATGGTGGGATTGACCAGGTAGGATGCCTGATAGAAGACTGTCTGCAGTATTAATCCATAAAACTTTCTAGCATGACCAGTTTCTACCAAGAACTCCACAATACTATAGTTAAATTAACATGTGTTAATACACATTATGTCAGATTATGTACTTGTTAATAAGCAATTTTAACAATGCCTAACAAGCTCTAAGCTAAACAGAAAACCCACTGAATAAATTCAGCATCTTGGTTGTCGATGGTAGATTTTATTGACCTGCATTTCAGAGACAAGGACTCTTTTTTAAAACTCCATTCTTGTCTCTCTCCAAAGTAAGAATGCTGGACAAGTACTAGTGTCTTAGAAGAAAGAGTCCTCAAGTTCAGTATTTTATAGTGGTTATTGTCTGGAAAACTAATTTACTTGTGTTAATATGTTTCTACTTTCCCTGATTTTCAAACTGGTTGCCTGCATCTTTTTTGCTACATGGAAGGCACATTTTTGCACTATATTAGTGCAGCATGATAGGCACTTAACCAGTATTGCCATATAAACTGCCTCTTTTCATATGGGATGAAGACATCTGTGCCAAGAGTGTCATGAAGACATTTGCAAGTTCTTGTCTCCTGAAGAGAGTAAAGTTCCGTTTGGATGGCAGCAAGATGAAATCAGCTGTTACACCTGCTGTACACACACTTCCTCATCACTGCAGCCATTGTGAAATTGACAACATGGCGGTAATTTAAGTGTTGAAGTCCCGACCCCTTAACCCTCTAAAAGGTGGATTCTTCTAGTTGGTTTGTAATTGTTCTTTGAAGGCTGTTTATGACTAGATTTTTATATTTGTTATCTTTGTTAAGAAAAGAAAAGAAAAGAAAAAAAGGAACTGGATGTCTTTGTAATTTTGAGAAGATGGAGAAAATAGTGTATCAGTGACTTTTGTAACTAAAGGAAATCAAAACTATATGTTGACTTTTCTTTCTCTCTAATTTGATTTCTCAGTTTCAGATTGAATGTCTGTCTTGCAGGCAGTATTTTAAAATCCATAGTCTGTTGTCTTTCTCACTGACAAAATTTGAAGCCATCTTTTCAATGTATGATTTCAAGTTTTTAAGAGAGAAGAATAAATATCTTGTCCAAGACTTCATTACATCTCTAGACCAAGAGTGGCGAACTTTTTCTGTAAAGGACTATATAGAAACTATTGTCAGCAAGGTCTGTGTTGCAATTTCTCAACTTTGCCATTCTGCTAATGCAACCATAATAAATAAAAGAATGAACATGATTGTTTTCCCATATAAGTTTCTTTACAAAAACTGCCAGTAGGCCACCTCTGCAGGTCAAATTTTGCTGACGCCTGGTCTGGATGTTTTTTAATGCTAACTCTCCATGGTGTCATCTTTCTTTTTCATTCATTTACTCACTATGTTCAGTGTTTAATTTCAGATATGAGAATTTACAGTCATTACATTTACCACTGTATCAGAAGTAGCTATATTTTTTAAAGATGTAGCCCCGGGAGTGGAACAATACTTAACTCAGCAGACTTCTTTCATATGAAAATTCAAAAGGTGCCATTAAAAAGCAATACCATTTTTCAGGCAACATTATTGCAACAACCTCTGCAAGAGAGGAGGACACTAGCTTTTCAGGTTTTTTGAAAAATAGCGTAATGTGCTGTTTTATTTTAAACAGCAGTATTCTGTAAAAGCGGTTTGGATTTAGAAGGTATTTTACCTTCATGCTGGAGTGTGAACTCCCCCTGCTGTTCATTACAGTATTTGCAAAGCTTACAAAAGACATCACTTTATCCCCAAAATGAAAACAGTTGTCTTTCACTAAGAACTAAATGCAGTAAGCACTAATTTCTTATTCAACATTCACTATATTAGGCAACATAAATCATTTTAAAGAGAACAGGTAGTCAGGAAAATAGAATGTTACTTTAAACCAAGGATTTAAACAAACAAACAAAAAATACATAAATCCAAAATCCATTTTATCTGTCTTATTAAAGAGGAAGAAAAAATAATATTGTTACTCTAAAACTGTGATTGTCAATGTTTATACTCAGGGGTTTTCCAGATAATCCTCAAGTTGATGTCTTTGAATAACATAAACTCCATTTGTCCAAAATGATTAAGAAAGAATCTATTGCGGTTACTTGAAAAATTCAACTGACCGTCTTATGAAATGTGCGCAACACCTTATAATTTTAAAATGTGGGCTAGAATTAAAATACTGTTCCTACTAAAGCTATACTTAAGATATTATAAAATGTCACTAATTGAGAAAAAATTAGTATCATCCCACCTATAAGAATTAGAAAATCCAAATTACAGAATGTTACGAAAAGTACAAGACTTTTTTTTCATAAATTGATTGGATTTTACAACACACGCACACACGAGAGAGAGAAGAAATTAGGTTTAACATGACCTAACATTAGAGAACATATTGGAAGATCACTGTTAGGATAAATAAATACGGGACAACCTCTTGGTAGAAAGGTGAAAACAATGTAGCAATCGTGGCTATTTTGGACAAATGGAAGTTTATTATATTCATGTTTATAACATGAAAATGGCCTTATTTTTGTTTCTGGCATGAGTCAATAATGAGTTAAATATTTTACTGGAATTTCATCAAAATCTTATTCTTCCTGTTCCTTCTAAAAATGTGGGAGGGGAATATAGTAGTAACTTCTCTATTGACACTTTTGCCTTATGGAAATGATCTGTGAGGCTAAAAAGATGTAGAACTGCTTTTCCCTAGTATGAAGGTCTTACTGGTTTTAAAAAGAAAAGAGTGGAACAAGTTTAACACAGTATTATATGATTTTGCTTGACGATTTCAATAGAAACCATATAGAAGAAGACAACTGATCTCTTTTGAAAGGGGCTGATTTGCTTATTCATCAGTACCTCATCCAATGTATTAACTATAATCTTTATTTCAAAGCTCTTTTTGAGGACACTATGGTGTAGCTGAAGTGAAAAAGAGTGCATAAAAGTCTGTTTTTAATTACTGATAGCAAAGCACAAATTATTTATAACAAGGCAAATATGTATTGACATGTAAGACACTCTGCTTGGCACTGTAAAAAAAAAAAAAAAAAAAAAAAGTAATGGCTTTTGTATACATAGATACATAAGACATCCAAAAGAAGGAAAAAATGCTTAATGAGTAAAGCTAGCACTTAAACATGTTGACTTTTACTCTAGGTTTGGTTTTAGATGGGGTTTGTATTTTTCCATATGTAACATACATGTCTTTAGGCCATGGTGTTAGGAGTTTGATTTTTCCCCACACTTCCCTCAGGTAGGTGGCAGTGGTCATTGTAGCTTAATCAGACCCCTGTTCAGTTCCTGGGCATTTCAAGAGAAATTGATGTCTTACTTCTACAGGAATTGAGTACACCTCTCGCATGTTTATTTACCTTCCTCAACCACCTCTATCTTTCCTCCTTTCTGATTATTTTCTCTGCTTGGTCTCGTTCTACTCTCAGTAGCTATTCTTATCTACTTCCCTCAGAACCACTTTCCTCTCAATATGCCCAATTTAAAAAAAAAAAAAAAAAGAATTCCTGTATTTCCTTCCCTATTAAAATCAAAGTGTCACTCACTCAGAGGGTGAATATCCTGACACACACCAAACTCACTAGTCAAAGAAATGAATAAAGGGGGAAGGAAAAATGTGGACGGCATGCAAGAAAAAAAAAAAAAAAAAAAAGTCCTTTTCTGTAAAAATGTCCATGCCTACGCTTGCTTTAGATTACCCCATATCATCCTGTCTCTACCTTCGTATACATTCCACACCACAAGACCGTGAAGGAGGCCTGTACCTTTCAGTACCAAACAGAAGGGCGAGTCTGTTCTAAAGCTGATGTGGGTCTGAACAGTGCATGCCAAGCACGATTCCCCAATGATCTGGTCTCACTGTTTATAAAAATAATACTTAATTCTAGTGTGGGTTCCTCTTCTATTTCTGCTCTAAGATTGAGGGTGTTGAAAAAACAGTAGTCCTTGAGCAAATCTGTGAGGAATCTTGTCGCAATATAATCTTTCCTGGGACTACTTTTGTTGTGAGAACCACATTTGCCTGTTCTGGGAATAAGAGCCTCCGCTGGTCCTGCCCTCAGGTGGCCCTGGCTGCAAGACAGGATTTCAGCCATCAGAAACTGGTGTGTGGGCCAAGCCAACAGTTATTCTTTTATAAAAAGGATGGTTTGCAGTGTGTTATGATAATCCTATATCGAGCAGGGACACTGAAAAATGGTATGTCTAGAGTATTAAATGAATAAAACAAATACTAAACAGTTAATTTTGCATTTTTTTGTGTGTTTCTACCAAGTCAGATCTCTCAGTGATCAAAAATCTCTACATTATTTAGGATGTAACTGTCAGTCTTACTGTTGTGTTTTGTAGATTTATTCTGTTGTTAACACATAGTTTCTAGAATACCTACTACTAAACTTTCCCCAACTATTTTTCAGAAATCTGTTTGTGTTTATTTTTGGAAAGTAAACATTTAGATTCCCTCTTTCTGGTACTTTTTTTCCCATTTCTATCACAGAGATTTGAAGAGATCAGTATCTATCACTGTAAAATATAACTTTATTAAATTTGCAATCTTTCTATAAATTATTCCCTAAATGTGTATTTTATGTTAATTTAACTACCTGAATATTTATTTTGTTTAAATAAGGAGGCAGCTGTCTAAGAATTTTTGTTAATATTACTTTGTAAATTGTGTAATGTAATTTATTTTAAATTATGTACATTTCCTTTTTAACACACAAAATGTCTATGTACATTAACTACAGATTTGCAAATAATGTCACTAAGCTTTATTCAGTCAATACAGATGGCATGTGAAGATGTAATATGCTTTTTTACATTTTCATATGGGTTATTTGTAAATAACTATATTGCTGACAAACATAAACATGGAAATCATTTTCATTCTAATCATGTGTATCGGTGTTTTGATTTGCATCAACTGCTTCTTTATGGATTAAAACCTTTTTCCAGTGAATATCTAAATCCTTTTACTACTGTACTGCCCTTTTCTGGGTCTTGTAACAACTAGGATTTAGAAAGTTCGAGAAATGCAAACTTTTACTTTGAAAGTTGACTGAGGCCTCCAGGTGAATCATGGACAAAGGATTTCCTAGTTTCCAGTCAATTCAGAAAGGGCAGCAGCAGAGGATGGTGAAACCCTCTACAACAGAGTACAGCTCTTCTCACCCAGTCACAAGGCAAGGCCACCCCCGCCCCCACTGTCTCTTATCCCTGTGTCTATCCACAAAAGACAAACCAAAAAGTCAAGGCAGAAGCTCACACTTTAACAAATTCAGGAAGGGATGCATAACTTAAGACAAGTTACTTCCAGGGTAGTTTGCGGTTTAAACATTTTCTGAAATTGCCATTTGCTAAAATATGAGTAAGTAGGGAGCTGTTTAAGCCCTCAGTCTGTGAACCACTCAGAACACGTAGTTAGCCTCCCATGCTTGATGGAAAAATGGTAATTTCTAGTCCTTTTATTTTCTGTACACTCAACTAGGTGAAAAAAATTTTCAGTGTATCATACAGATTTTTTTCTAGATATCTGGACTTTCATAGCCAAATATCTAACTTCATTTATTTTACAATTCCAATGTAGGCCCTAAAAACACAAATATGAACATGACTGGTCTACATTATATTTTTGCAGCTGCTGTGTCCCTAGTGATTCTTTCATTAAAGTCTGTATATATTCTATAACACGCACACTTCAATTTATACCTCCATCAGTGCCAGTTACTCTGAAAAGATACTGTACACATACCAAAACGCATAAAGGTAGTCAGGCTTTCTGATACTGTAGTATTTTTAGGTGACTTCCTGTTCCCCTTTCACCTTCTGCCATAGCATCTCCCAGCCAAGTTAACTCGTTAACAATCTGATATGTATCCTGTCATATTTTTCTCCTTGATCATATGACATTATAAATATGATGGTAGTGGGGAGTGAGATGGGAAGAGAGTGAGAGAGGAAGAGAGAGATGGGGTGAATCTGGTAGATACAATTGAGAAACAACTTCATTTTATTACTGTTTTCAAACACTGTAAAATGTCCTTTGTCCTGTCTCTGGCAATACCTAAGGCAAATTCTATAGCTTTTTGGTAACAGTAAGAGTTCTCAAAGTATCAGAGTTATCAAAATTCCAATCCAAGCTAATCAAAGTCCCTCTCATTGCTTTCATTTTCTTGACTAATAGCAAACTTGAGCAACTTTTCATCTTTTCATATAGGTGTGGCTATTTGGATTTGACCTATTACATGTAATTTTCAAATAGCAATTCTGGTGATACCAATATGGTTGTTAATTTTAGGCCATCAACTAGGTATTTTGTTGTTGTTGTTGTTGTTTATTTTGAGATGGAGCCTTGCACTGTTGCCCAGGCTGGAGTGTAGTGGTGCCATTTCAGCTCACTGAAACCTCTGTCCCCTGAGTTCAAGTGATTCTCCTGCCTCAGCCTCCCGAGTAGCTGGGCCTACAGGTGTGTGCCACCACGCCCAGCTAATTTTTTGTATTGTTAGTAGAGACAGGTTCTCACCGTGTTAGCCAGGATGGTCTCGATCTCCCGACCTCGTGATCCACCCGCCTCAGCCTCCCAAACTCCCACGTAATCCCATGCCTGGGATTACAGGAATGAGCCACCGTACCCAGCCCTAAATTTTAACTTTTCAGTGAAGAATGAAAAATATTTTTGGGGATTCTACTTCTCCACGACCTATTCTTTCTTTCATCTCAGGCAGAGGCTCCCCCACCATGGCCTTACCTCACTGCTGGGAGGCTGGATGTTCTTTCTCTATCCTAGCGAGCCCCTATGCCCACTCATTCCCACTCATGCTCACCCTTGAGCACAGTGTTAATCGAAGTAATGAAGCTGGAGCCCAAGCTTGCATTAAACTACACAGTCTCCTCAGAGCTTTGCCATTTTTACCGCCTCTGCCTAGAAACTCTTCCCCTTGATTCAGGAGCGGCTGCTCCCCACTTCATGTAGGTCTCTGCTCACATGCCGCCCCTCTCTGAGAAGCCTTCCTTGACCATCTCATCCTTCTCTGTTCTCCTGCCCTTCTTTTGTTTTCTTTACGGCGCCTGACATACCTATCTTTCTATTTTTTGTTTGTTTTTTTCCTCTCTCCCACACAATGAGAGGGGCCAGGTCTTTATCTGTTTTGTTCCTTGCCTGGAATAGTACCCAACACATACTAAGAATTACGGCAGAGCGCGGTGGCTCAAGCCTGTAATCCCAGCACTTTGGGAGGCCGAGGCGGGCGTATCACGAGGTCGAGAGATCGAGACCATCCTGGTCAACATGGTGAAACCCCGTCTCTACTAAAAATACAAAAAATTAGCTGGGCATGGTGGCGCGTGCCTGTAATCCCAGCTACTCAGGAGGCTGAGGCAGGAGAATTGCCTGAGCCCAGGGGGCGGAGGTTGCAGTGAGCCGAGATCGCGCCATTGCACTCCAGCCTGGGTAACAAGAGCGAAACTCCGTCTCAAAAAAAAAAAAAAAAAAAAAAAAAAAAGAATTACGATGTCTTGTTGGGTGGATAAATGGCCAAAAGAATTAGTGAACTGAGAGAGAGGTTTATGACTAAAGAGTAGATAATAATAGCAGATCAATTATGAAGAGGCCACTAGGGTTAAGAAACCCACTAATTCATCCATAGCTTAAAGCCGTCCATACTCTACTCTCATCAATATATCTTATATTCATTTCACTAGCCGGATAGATGTTACCCTAAACACTTATAATGCACAATGCTGACAAGAACAGAACAGCGACTGAGAAGTCAAAGAAAGAAAAACAGAACAATAGTAACTGAGGCTGGCATCAGAGAGGAGTGATATGAAATAGCTAAGGATACTGGAGTAAGATGTGGGCAATGAGATTTACCATACTATATGGAAAACAGGGTCTGTAAAAGACAGAATCCTATTGTAGTTTTCACTCAGTTGGAATTTAAATGAATTAAATTAAATTAATGGGAAATTATTCCAGGGGGAGTAGGTGAGAGAGGTTGGAATACTGGAACATTAAGCAAAGGACAATTTCAAATTCCTAAAAAGCCTTTGATCCAGGATATAAAAGCAGTCTGATTATACTATTCAATCCTAAATGACAATAATTGATTTTATGATGTCAGTAATAATCAAATTATATACTATTTCCTTCCGAGCAGAAATAAAATGGGGGAAAAAAAAAAAAACAGAATAGAGTAACAATTCAAAGTGCTTCCCAAATTCTCATAATTTGCTTTGGAACAACAGAGGAGGACATTCAGCAACTATGTAAATACATTAATAGACCATTTAAAATTCTTTCCTTGTCAAAAACGATGTCTTGATTTCCTTGAGAGGTAAAAGGAATTTCAAAATCGTAGTCAGCTCGTAAGTTCAGACAGTACTACAGAGGGGAAAGCAAACGTCTTACAAGACAGCGTGGACCTGTGTCCCAGTCTTTTATAAACACAGGGAGTTTAGTGACAATCCTGTCAAGCCATATCCCCAGTGACCCTCCAGCAGCCATGCTGACAGCGGAAGTATAACTGTGCCCTTTCACAATGTATCTTTATTAAAGGTTCACTCATTTACAGTATTTGTCTATTGGGGAGCGGTTATTTTAATGTTTATCACTTTGTACAATTTGTTTGCCAAAGGGTATATGTCTTTTCTTTTGATGGCACCACCTTGCTATCTACGGGGAAAAAATGGTTTATAAAATAAGTTGAAAAGTACCATGGCTGTAGAAGGAGGTACAGTGGACAGAATTATAATCTGAGACATATAAATGGCCCTTAAAGTTAATTTTGATATGCTCATGAATTCTAATCTTTATATGTAATATCTACAGGAAAATCAAATTAAAATGTCTCCTGCAATGATAGACTGAGGCTATGTCTGGAAGTGATCGTGATATAAGTGCATGTTGCAAAAACATGATGGCAATATTTGTCCAGTAATAAAAACTAGAGGCCTTTGATGCTACTCTCTTCAGATCAGGCATCATACTGGCTTTCAAAAATCAACAATTCCTAGCCCGAAACATTTCAATGCAATTATGGGTTTATAATGAAAGTAGATACAGCAATAAATTGGTATATTATCTTACTTAGATTATAATGCCAAACATAGGCACAGTCCATTGGTATACAAGTATTAAGAGCAGTACCTACCTCTGATAATGGTTAGATCCTGCAGATTTTACAAAGCTTATTAAGAACAGGAAACCAAGAAAGGACTAAAAACCTCTACTGAAAGTTCTGTTTCATTTTCTGTCAGGATATGGAAGAGGACCAGAAGAACAAAGAAGAAAATATAAGTAGCTTTTGAACTTACCAAAAATATTCTCATGAGCATTTATAATTAATGTTACTTAAGAAAATGATGCAATAGATGGGGAAATTAAAATGTGACAATCCGCTATCTTATCAAGGATATAAGAAAAACAAAAGTTCTGTTGTTTTTTATTTCGAATAGAGGAAGTAGTAATTGACAATCAAGTCAATAAAGGGCAATGTAAAACTACTTTTAATTATAAATAAACATACTCTCTAACCTAGTAATTCCACTTCTAAAACTGACTCCAATATCTAGAAGTAGACAGATGAATAACAGATGATAAAGATTTTGTGTATTACATGTACATGTGTGTATGTGTGAATAGAGGAGTGACAGATAAATGATTAATATAAAATATGCACAGTAATATAGTACAAGGATATTTGGAGTATTTGCTAAAGTATGAAAACAATGTAAGTAGACAGAAACACTGTCCACTGTGTTTTGTGGATAGGAAGTTAAAATAAATAACACAAGATCTTGTCTACAGGATCTTATTTTGGTCTTTAATTTGTCAGAATTGGAGACTGCTAACATTAGTAGAAATCTCAGCACACATATTCACAAAATATTTC